CTGTATGCAGCAAATATTGCTACAAAAAGTGCCATGTATTGGTTTTTACTGATACAGCATGTTCTGATAATCCTATAAAGTATGGCAATTTGTCAAATACATTTCTGTAATAATTTTTGCAGAGAGTCTGATTTGCGGACACATGTTGCATATGTAACTTTGTTACCAAGGAATATCAAATTGAATCTCAAGCATAAAGCTCTTCACTAGCAAGAGTGTTTGCGAAACTGGCCTCTTTGCTCCTATTCATCTGAAAAATAAATAAGTATTATATAGAAGCCAACAACACTTTTGACAGTAGAGAGGTAATATATTTCCCTGTCAAACACACACCTTTGCTCCAGGATTACAGAGTATCTTTCAATGTGAAAGTGGCCTTGCAGGTTCTAAATACAATCTCCAATGCAAGGAAGAAGGCAGGGTACAGTTTCTTCAAGAGTTCTGAAGTTCCAAAACTTGTATGAATTATGTAATATTTGTATGAGTTATACAATCACAGAATGGCTTAGGTTGGAAGGGACCTAAAAGATCATCTAGTTCCAATTCCGCCAGCCATAGGCAGGGTTGCCACCCACTAGATCAGGCTGCCCATGACCCCACCCAACCTGGCCTTCAGAGATGAGGCATTCACAACCTCTCAGGGGAACCTGCTCCACTTCCAGTTTTTTACCCTCTGGGTAAGAAATTTCTTTCTAACATCTAACCTAAATCTACCCTCTTTTAGTTTAAAGTTTTATTTTAAAGTTTACCTGGTGTAGGGAACCTGCTTTGGTAGGGGGCTTGGACTTGATGATCTCTGGAGGTCCCTTCCAACCCCTATGATTCTGTGATTCTGTGAAGTTTTCCTCAGAACTTCTCTCAATGAGTTCCTCTCCCATTCGATACTCATATCTGGGATTGCCTCAGCCCAGGTGTAACAATTTCCAATTGGCCTTGTTAAACCTCACTGGATTCTCATGTGACCACTTTTCAAGTGTCCAGGTCCTTCTGTATGATGTCCCTCCCACCTATTACATCAGCTGCACCCCTCAGCTTATTGTCATTAGTATGAGTAATGACAACCTTCCCAAGGTATAACAAAAAATGTGTTTAATCATACGATAAATTATACTACATGTAACATGGTATTTTTTTCCTAGTTAGCACTGACTGTAAATTTCTACATTTAAGTAGATCCCTCTGTCACACTGTCTGCAGTTCCACTTGGTCTCCCATTTCCTTTGCATTCTCCAACTAAACTGTGTTTCATACACAGATGCATAGATGGAAGGGAAGCTCACTGAGCTCTAACATCCCTCCAGAAAGAAGGATGACTTTTGCCACTGTAATCTTCAAGTAAATTGCATAAAGCTGTTAACATTTTTATAGGTGACTGCATAATATTATTGCATAAATGAATTTGACAGATTAATGTATTTTACACAACTTCCCTAGGAAACAACAATATAAGTAGTATCAATAAATGAAAAGCAAAGTACTTCATTATGTTTTATGATTTATAATTTATATTTATATTAAAATCTGTGACCCATCATAGCGTTGTAGACATATAAACCAATTTTGAATGGCAAGCAGGTTGAAATAAATTTCACAAAAACTTTTCTCCTGGCATCTCACTGAAGTGGGAAGTATGACATAATAACCTTTGCCCCTTGGAGGTAATATCATGAATTGTACATTTCTTGAAACTATACCCTTTTTTTTTTTTTTTTTTTTTCCAAGAATGCCAATGAATTAACAATACATAAATAATTCTTCCTTGAATAATTTAGTCAGCTTTAGTTGATGGCCTGATTCTAAACTCACAGAAATTTTGCACTGATATAAGCAAAGGTTACAAAGGTAATGTTCCCAATTTACAAAAACCTTTTGGTCTCGTCTGTTTTTTTTTTTTTATTTACCTTGCAAAGTATTATTCTTTTGGGTCTAGCACTACAAAAAACTTCTGTACAGAAGGCATGAGAAGTTACATTGATTTAACACTGAAACATTTTCATATTCACCACTGTCTGTGGGATCCACATATTTGTCCTTACTCATGCGAATAGAGTTTGTTTTTTAAAAATCCCATATGCAGTTAAGCCATTTTTATTGACTGGGAATTAAACACCTCTCTCCAATACTTTCAATCCAGAGAACAATACACTGACAAAAGAAAATAAACTGCCTTAGAAATTATCTTTAGAAAAAGAATGAAACTAGCTTCTTGGTTTTTACTTGTTCAAGTCATGTGGCAACACTAAATTTCTGAAAATATGTCCTGTTATAATAACTGTAATGTAGTCTGTCAACCATTACTATTTCACTATTAACTTAACTAAGCTTGTTGTTATTGCTGTTGTTGTTTATATATATTTTTAATTTATTTGATCAGGAGGTAAATAGAAATCTTCTGCTTAATTTAAGCTTTATTCCTAATTTTTTCATGTTGTTGTGACTCTTTGTATCATTCATGTAGAAAGGAAGTAGCTTGGGATGTGAATGCGAGGAGGTAGTTGTCATCTGTAATGCAACTTGTCTCTTTCTAGCTGAAAGACTTTTTCTGGAGTTCCTGCTTTTGGGATTTGGTTGAGCCAAACCTCTGGTTAGTGAAGCAGGAAGTCCTAACTTGACACTTTGAAAACAGGAATTTTACTTATGATCTTGAATCAATATAGGACTTGCTTCAAAGCTAAGCATTAAAACCCTGAAAAACCCTGAAAATAATTATGATTTTTTTTTTATTTTTTTTATTTTTATTACTGACTGTTGGATTTACCTTTTAATCTTGAGATATTATTGTTTCTTTTTACTACTTCCTCATACAGTGAACTCCTCTCCCAGGTGACTGGTGATAGAACCAGAGGTAATGGCTTCAAGTTGCACCAGAGGAGGTTCTGGTTGTATGTTGGGAAGAATTTACACTCTGAAAGAGTAGCCAAGCTTTGGAACAGGCTGCCTAGGGAAGTATTGGAGTCACTAAAGATGTTAAAAAAGTGTGTAGACGTGGCACTGAGGAACATGGATTAGTGGATATGGTGGTGATGGGTTGATGGTTGGACTTGATCACCTTTGAAGTCTTTCTAATGAATTTAAAACTTTAATGATTTTATGATTCTATGATTTAAATGTAAGAAGTTATTAATGTTTGGACAAAATATATTTGAGAAGTTTAATGTAAATTGAGTTCAATGTTTTGGACTCCTGGCATGTTATACTTCAGTATAGCTTTAATTACAGTATATTTGATGTAAGTTTGGTGTGCATTGGTGTCTTTAATTAGTATTGACATTAATTTGTTATTAAAATTGGCATTCAAGCACATCTGGAGTACAGTGGTGTTTCAAATAATCACTAATTATTTAGGGTGATTTTCAACATCACGTTTTCCTGCTGCTTTAATAAAAGACCAGCATGCAATCATTGCAGGCATGGGAGTATCTGTGCATTGAGGCTCTTGTCCCCAGCACTCTGCCATCAACATGCATGTTAAGATGTGCCCTCAATTTTGAGCGTTATCAGTAAAATTATTCTGAGCACTACTTTTGGCTTCCAACCCCATCCCAACAATGGGATCAACGAGACAGTAAACCCAATTCCAGGGCTCCAATTACTGCATAAAATAAGAAAATAAATAAATAGATAAATACTGCAGCTACACGGCCAAACACTGACTATGTGCTAAAAGTTTATGCTGCTCGCTTAAGATGTACTCAAAAAGTTGTCAGCAGGCTTGATGCTGGGATCAGGTGTTGACCTGACACCCAATCGTGGATCTGTAGAACGAGGTGATGCGTGTGGATCTGTGGAACAAAAGTGACACAGAGGTGACGCTGCTCCCTTCCACACAGACCCAGATGGCACTTACGGCGCTCAGTGGGTCGGTGGCACGTGTAACTGCTGCGCGGCTTGACTGAATTGGGCGGGATATCGCCTAACACCAACCCTTCCATATCGGTTTAAAGCTTTATTGAGTCGCCGAGCAGAGGCCGCGGCGATATCCCCTGGCAGCAGATCCGCTGCAACACGGCTGAGCAGGGAGCACCGTGCCTCAGAAGTTGCGCTCCTCTCTCTGCTGCGGTCCCACTGGGACACGGGGCCCGGAGGGCGCGCTGAGGGGACCCCTCACAGCCGCTTCCAAGGGTGTCCCGGCGGCTGAGGGAGAGGCGGGGAGCGAGAAAATGGCGGGAGAAAGCGGGGAGAAACATCTCCCTCCCAACAGCGAGAAGCCGCGTACCCCTCAAGCGAGGTGGGCCCTGAGGGACTCCCGGGAGGCGGAGAGGGAAGCTGCCCCACAGCGGGCAGCCCAACCCCTCCCCCCACACGCAGGCCCTCGCACTTTGTTGTTGCCTCGCCCACCGCGGCGGCGGCGGCCGTGCAGGCAGAGCGCATGCGCGGCGCCAAAGCCCTCCTCCCACTCCCCCTCCCCTCCGCTCCTGCTCCATCCGGGTACCTCCGCATTAGCATGAAGAGCCGCGGCACAACTTTTTTTCCTCAGGCAAAGTGAAATCAAGGCGCGCGCGCGCCGCGAGGAAATATAGTCCCTCCCGTTCGCAGCCCCTCCCCTCCCCATTGGCGGCGGGGCGGCGGGGGGCGGTGGCACGGAGCGGGGCGGGGCGGGGGCGGTGGGAGGAAGGAA